AATCGTGCCGGCCATCTTACGGTCAATGATAATTTTACATCATTATTTCTTTCTGGCTAAACTTCTCGTTGGTTCCATTTAACCAGAAATAATTTACTTATTAATCAAATAACATTTTCAGCCATTTAATTTAGCTAATAAAATGGTAAGGCAAGATGCACATTTGTATATATCTCGGGAGTAAGTAATCAAAGGGTATTGAGCATAGCCAGTCGTCAAATCTTAATTTTGTGACAAGCTCACAAGCTGAGAGGTGTGAACAGGGGAGGACACCATGCCGTAGATCTTCACTGTCCATGTGGTGTTAAGTCGGTAGTACTGGGTCAGTTGTTTAATTAGCGTATTGATTAAAATGACTTGATGTCCCATGTAAATAGGTTAGTGCTTTAATTTGTAAGATCATGAGACATACTCCTATGCGAGAACATAATACCAGTTTATTAGTTTGTGTATTCATCTTGTTTATGTGAGCTTGAGGACTGCAGAAGTTGCAGTCCTATTTCCAACAGATAGGAGCCTATTATCTCGAAAGGGTGAGTGTTATATATTTTATCTAATTTCCTATTAAAAATAGCCCAAATTAAAGGGTCCTTTTCTTTTCGGGGCAAAACCACTTGAATATCTACCCTTGCGATTTTGTCAGTGACCCGTGCTTGTCAACTGATGGATAGGCACATCCTTAAAAAGATATGATGCACGTAATTTTTTTTTATGACGGCATATCACATACATACACAAAATCAAACAATCATTCATGAAGGTTCTGAACCGTGTGTGAATGCTATTCAGGGTCTTTTAACTATATCGACAAAATTCGCCTCATACCTCCATATCTCCATGTACAAAATCTTAAATGGCCACCCTTTAGTTGTAATAAATTAGTGCGATCATGGTTTCCAAATAGGAGTATTTCATTGCAACCAACAACCGGAGGACGGAGGTGATTGCTAGCAAGACCATTACAAGAAGCAGCTGAAGATACATATACAGCTGTTTGGGATATGGTAGTCAGTCCTACACAAGTGCCAGTTCAAGATGTTCGCAAATGCCAGTCCTACACTTGCAACTCAACAATCTGCATCTCTGGCAATGTGGCATAGATATCTCAAGCTAGGCATGAGAGGCGTCGGGAGTTGGAGGGCCTCATTTTCTCATCGGCTAGTCAGGGGAATATAGAGGTAATGTGCTGCATGACATGCTGAGCAAGCAGCGTTCTCCATGTACCGTGCCTTTTGATATCTTCAGCGCAACGCGCCCGTGGTGAACAATGCATCTACTTGCTTCGTGTCTTGCTTCGTGGTTCTAACTGATCTCGACTGGCTGAATGGAGGTTGCATTGCATCAGCGAATCACATCTGGGTGCCTGCATGAAAAACAATATGATCAGAAGTTCAGAACCTCGCTATTTCATCCATATGCCCAAGCTGGCTCACAAGGCCTAGGTTTGTGAGATTTTTTTTATCATCTTTTTAACACAGAAAATAATTAAGATCATGCTTATCTAAAAATAACCAAGTCTAAACTTGATATTGAGAGAAAGTAATAGATTCCTCGGAGAAGAAATCTGAAATAAAAAAATTAAATTGTACAGTGAAATTTGTTTTTCCAGCTTCAACTTACACATATAAAATCTCATGTATCCAGCTAAAATTTTGTGAAAATTATAGTTGATTTGTCGTACCTATGCTGCAAATAGCCTTTTTGGGGAAAAAGCATACCATTTCTTAGAAAATGATCAATGGGTTAAGAACTCCTAATTTAACTTCATATGCATATTTTCTTTTAAGATGAAAATGCACTAAATCATATGGCTTTTATCTCTATTGACTCTTCCGACAAACAGAAGGCGAATTAAATGGATGGATGTGTATTTGTTCCACATTCATTTGCAAATAATACCAAAGGTCCAAGCTTATTCCAATAAAAAAAAAAAGCTCCAAGCTTATTGAAGGCGGAGAAATAGTTGGTGTAAGGACTTATTTTTCTTTGTATCTTTTCTAAGAGAAAACATAACTGAATAATTAGTCATGGTAGGTAGCGACCATACAATGCCACTTTGCCACTTTGCTTCTCTCCAGTCTTCCAACAAGCACTGACATACTACATTGTGTGTTTAAGATAGTCCAATCAATAGGTGTTCCTCTATATATATATAGGAAGAATTGAGGTAATTGTCACACTATATAATAGTGTACACTCATGTTGCCAGACAAAACCAGCAGCTAGGAAAGAACAGCCCAGATTGCTAGCAAAACCGTGTGCCATCGGAATAGTCAACGAAATTAAGCAGGGTATAGTATATTACCAGAGGGGTGCAATATTGGAAGGCATCAAGAAATCGTGAATTTTTGGACTGGTGTTAAAGATGATATAATGTGCCGGTTGGTGAAATGGTCTGCTTTGGCTAGACCAAAAGATTATATATGGAGATTTGGGTTTAGTAGCGTCCAGCAAAATGAATATTTTTCACCAAGCTAAATGGACAATGGACAATGAAACTCTTGAAGCTTTAGGATTCCAGCTCTTGCTTAGAGATAGTAAGCATAGAGTATATGTTAGAGAGAGGTTTTTTCTTTAGACAGGTAATGGTAGAGTTTCTCAGTTTCAGAAAGGATTACATGCTATGAAAGAGTGGCTTTGGCGAGAATTACAGTTGTTTGTGGGGAATGGGGGAGTTACATTCTTTTTAGGCATGGTATCTGGAGAGATATTTGTCCTATCAAATTCCTCTGTTGTAAACTCCTCCAAATAAGTAATGAACATAAGATCCTTGTAGGTGAGGTACACTTGAGAGGTGCTAAGGCCTATCCTGGTAGAGATAGCTCTGCTAGACTTTAACAAAAAGTAAAATCTTATTCAACCAAACCACTTTAGATCTTGTTCGGTTAATCCTTTTACAAGAGAATTGAAGATGATTTGAAGGGGATTAATTCAATACCTATTGTGGTTTAGAATTATCCCTCAATCCCCTTCAATTCCTCTCTTTTGAGAATTTATCGAATAAGACCTTATATATGTCTGACTTTCTAGGGAATAGCTGATGATGATACGGGATGTTTGGAAGCCCCAAACATTTAAAATTAAACACTTCCTAGCTTGGTATGATAGAGTCCAGTCTGTTGTACAATAGGTCAAGATAAACTGAAGAGGGGGAATCACATATGTAAACTTTGTGGTATGCCTGAGGATGCTGAACACATTCTCTTTTAAGGCCCTTCTGCTGTCATTATGTTGTGCTTTTCTAGATATGTTCCTGGCGGATGAGACTCCCCTGTAGAATCGAATAGCAAGAACTAAGCTAACCAAAGGGGGTGAATGGTTGGTATACCCAAAAACCAAAAACTTTTAGCTGAAATAAAAGTTACTCTCGAAATCGATGGAGATCGGTCTGACCAGAGTAGATTAGCCGGTCTGACCGAAGCGTAGCCGCCGGTCTGACCGGTGTAGATCTCCCGGTTTGACCGCCCTGGAATTCCTGCCGCGCCTGTTGCCGCCGCCGCTGGTCTGACCACCCGTATGCCATCGGTCTGACCGCCGCGTGCCGCCGGTCTGACCACCGGTATATCGCCGGTTAGACCGCTGAGACCCGGTGAAACACAAATCGAAGAACTCTTAAAGTGGATGACGACTTTATTGATTCTCTCTGTGTTTACAAAGTGCACCAACTGCACTCCTTACAAAAATTTCGACTAAACTCAAAACCCTAACTCAAAACTCAACTCAAATACTCTCAAAAGCGATACAAAAGTGATACCGGGAAGCCTCACGCTCCCCCTCTATTTATATCCTGAGGTAGGCAGCCTAAAGGCACGAACCAAACCCATACTACGAGTCCTAAACACCTTAGGAAACCCTCTAGTATAAGAAAGAAACTTTACATAACCAATCGTACCAAGTTTGGACTCCTTCCAAATTCGACTCCGCATCCCATACGCACACAATAACTCCATCGTATGCCATATGGAATCTCTATCAACCACGTGCATCAACTCTAGCCTAAGTATCCCGCATGATCTCTGACCACCACAGACGTCGTCTTATCCCCAAGCCGACTCCCGGTCCATCACCGCAAATACTCTCCCGAGGCATCGAGTCACCTACACATGAAATAAACAAAGAAACCATATTCCGAGACCAAGCTATCTCCAACTTGACTCATTAGTAGCAAACAACAGTATTACATACGTATAGTATCCATCTAGAAGCCATAATCATGAAATAATCACGGATATCCAAACAAACAACCCGAAACCGAAACCGACACAGAGTCGGCCGGTCAGACCGTGGGCTAGCCGGTCCGACTGCTCGATCACCGCCAGTCTGACCGGCAACACCTGCCCGGTCTGACCGGTCACATGAAATAACAGCGATTTCCTGTAGATTCACCTGTGAACTCCAATCATCTCCAAAACCACTTCGTGAATAAATTCCAAATAACAAAACTAATAATCTCCAATGCCCAATTATTCATCACAGAATAATAATCAAAAATACCTTTGATTTTACATCCCTAACGTTGTGTAGTTTGCAGTTGTGCCACTGATATGTGGACCCCACTTTGATATGGCCCACATGTCAGTGGCACAACTGCAATCTGCATAAAGTCAAGAGATCTGTTTCCGTTTCTAGCTAGTCCTTCGCTCCTATTACGTTTGACAAGTACACTGTAATGGTGATAGGCATGCTGACCGAAATAATAAGAAATGGAAAATTGTTGGAATATTTGGTCAATCGAAAATAACATAATAAAAAAAATGTAAGGCTTGGCTTCATTAACCAACAGCCCTATTGTTTCGCTTATTCGTAGAATAAGCCAAACGACATATTTACAAACGAAAAGTAATTTATAAATAAAACTTTTATATAGATGATTTTAGCGATCTAAAAGCAAAGGCTAAAAAATAAACTTCGATGAAAAAACCTAAAATCCGCTCTACATAAGCGGAAATATACACCACGAGATTCTAAACGACGTGCGTTTGCATAGGTATGCGCTGACATGTCCACGTGGGTCCCAATCATCAGCGTGAATGGAGAACTTGCGAGTGTAGCTCTTGAAGCCATACCACGGGCCCACCTAGTTGGCAAGCAGTTCCACGTGTCGTGGGGTTGATCGACGACGTATTAGTTTGACTATTTAAAAGCGCATCACTCTTCAGCACACTGCACGCCACCTTCCATTCCACTTTTTTTTCCCGATTTTTCTATGAAAGCAATCACACCTTCCAGTTCCACTATGTTTTGGAGCTAGCTGTTCCCTTGCATTCCTTCATCCTGCCTCTTTCCAGCCTGCTTGAATTTTACAATTTTCCTGATAGAACATGAGGGGAGGCATGCAAATTAAGGCCCCGTTCGAATCTGATTATAGGATGAAAATTAAGTGTGCACGTAACAAGAGATAAATCATTAGCATATGGTTAATAAAGTTTTAATTATTAAAAATTGAAAATGGATTTATTTGATTTTTATAGTAACTTTTATATAGAAAGTTTTCACATGAAATATACCATTTAGCAGTTTAAAAAACGTGCAAACAGAAATCGAGGAAAAATCTAGATGTTGTTGGAGTTTAGAACGGGGAACTTGGCTATGCACGATCGATGCAAGAAGTGATGGTATCATAGACACGGGAAGCGTTGGGAATTAATTAGGTGGCCTTGTGGAGTAAGCAGTTTGGACACGAATTGCCCTCTTTGTTTCTAATCATGCGGTGCGGTAATGAGCGTGACAAAATCTGCAGGTCCCAACCATGTGTTACGGTAACTTCACTGCCACCTGTTCCTTCTTTTGCTTTATTATCTTACTACAAACTGACACCAGAATACCTCTTACTTTTGGTTAATTTTGCCAATTCCTGTTCCACTGTTAGTAATTAGAGCGTGGAGTTACATGTTTCAGTAGGAACAGATGTTTGTCCATTCCGCTTTGACGCAATAATTATATAGTATCTGCAAACCCAAACAACTTTATTTAATTTATGTGTAATATAAATTGCCGTCAGATATATCTTCAGTACGAGGGAGATCAATGTCAACAACAAATGTATAGAAATAGTAACAGAAGAGATCACAAGGGAGGACGGTAAGGTGCGAGTTGTGCAGGCCATGACATATAAGATCCACATGCGTCTCATACTAACTTAGCTCGCCATGTCAGCTGAAACTAGGCACAATAGTTAGCCCGTTAAATCAGCTAAAACTAGGCATAATACTGCTCTCACACCTTGGTACTCTAGTATTATAAGACAAGAGACACTTATATTTGTTATTATGATTAAGAACATGATTCAAACTCGATCTCAATATAAGAGATCTAAAGTGAACTTATTCCTTTACTTTTAAGGAAGGAAAGCCTCTTTCCTTGTAAATTGTTTTCTTTTGACTGTGCGGTTCACAAACTGAATGGAAATTGAATTTTTTTTTTCAAAAATATTCTTTGCTAACAAAGTTCCTTATAAATTTTATAGGAACTCTTTGAATTTTCGGCAGGATCCGTTCTCGACCCTAGTTCATCGCTGGATTCTACTTGAGCCGAGTTTCACAATCAAATCCCGCTCCCTGCGGCAGATATTCAAGAAATTGAGGCCAACGCAGAATATATATGCAATCTCGAAAGCACAGTAAAACCACAGATAATTCGCAAACCAAAGCATGGCATGTTCACATAGTCCAACACAGCACAATTATTTGGTTTGGGTATACTTAATTACTCTGCATCTGGCCTGAATGATTTTATTCATACAACCTGACAGGTTGACAACATATATGCGTAAATGGCTCACGCCGATCCAAGGAAACGACCCATCCAAGTCGAGAAGCGAGACCAGGCCAGGTCAATTGCTGCCTGGTTCTCATCAGTCAGACCCATCTCCTTCCTCCTCTTGACGGCCTCAGGTGATGTGTTCATAAAAGCATGCGAGCAGCCAGGGTAGATGTGGACTTCATGTGGCACGCCAGATGACTTGAGCTTCTCCTCCAGCGACTTGGCTGCCTGAAACATTATATTAATAAGTGCCCCTATTAATAATATTAGATTTTTCAGGTCAAAATGCTCAATTGAGCATCTATAAGTAGACTCTAATCATTCTCTAGTCCAATGTACATCATTCTAGGCAGATAAATTGTATGGAATCAAGCCCTTCCTTGAACAAAAAAGGTAACTATTCAACAATGCCGATACTAGTATATGAATGTGAAATTTAAACAAGTTGCCCCAAGCATAATGTCAATACATAGCAAAATAGACAAAACATATGAGAGGTGGTCTTACCGTGACATCTGCAAATCCAACAAAACTGTCAAGCTCCCCAAAATGAGCCTGGATGGGAGCCTGGGCCTTGGAAGCATCGGCAAGCTCAGAAGGTGGTGTCCCATAGAAAGCCACAACAGCATCAACCTCTGGGACTGAAACTCCACTTGCAATTGACAAAGCGCCTCCCATGCAATATCCAGTAACACCAACCTACATGGAGGAATATAAGTTATCATAATGCAATTCATTACATTCTGCATGGTTTCATCAGAATGTAGACAATTTTTTTTTTTTGCTAGGTTTCATCCATCAATTAGGATAATATGTCAATACATCATGTGTACACCCCTAAAAGGTGCAGCAAGTTAGGCACATGGCAAGCAACCAACTCAGCTGAGTAATCTATCCCCATGATTAGTTACTTCCCATGAAAAGGCATATGTAGGAAATCAAGGAATATACCTAGGTTTATTTTCTGTAACCAAGAATCTGACAGTTACGATGTTTATCTTCTGGTTACTAAGTCATCTCTAAATAACATTTGTTAGGGCCAGTTCCTTTAAAGACTATACACCTGCCATTATGGAAAGTAAGAGTTAAGAAATCTCCTTCCCTCTCCATCAGCACAACTTATCACTGCAACAATGCTCTTACTTCTTCTGTCTCCCTGTTACTCAAACCAATCAATTGCTATTGCTGAAATTTCTGCCCGAGGTACCTCTATCTAAAGTAAGCACGTAACAAGATACAAATGCTGCATTTTTAACTCTCTAGTTCTTTTTAATCTACCAGTGAAGTTCAGTCAGCAAACAGAAATAATTAGTTACGAGTTAGTTGGGTAAATATGTCATGGCATCTGAAAATATTTGGATGGTGGACGGAGATATAATTTCAGTAGTACAGAAAACATGAGAAAACAATGAAACAAGAACAAATACGAGCCCTACCTTGGGTGATCCATTTGCCTTGAGCCATTTAACTGAAGCCTGAATATCCTTGACCGCACCCGGCCAGTCTAGACCTTCCATCAGATGCTGAGCTTCCGCTACATCAAGAGCAACCTTACCACGATACAAACTGAAGAAAAAGGCACGTTGGTAAACAAGTTTCTTGGCTGAGAAACGAAATGCTAAGTATTAAGATTTATGAAGCATCCATTCCTAGAACTTTGTTTTTGAATACGTGATGCTAATTATTGCTGAAGAATGAAAATTTGCTGTGTGCAAAGAAGTTGAGTGGCATGCTCAAATTTACAAGAGTTGAATGGGAATTTTCTCATGTGCCACAATGACATGCACAACAATTATGTGTAAGCTCCAGCCACCTCTCTTGCTTCTCCCGAGAATGAGCTCCCATGCCCAGCCATCTGCCTCCTTTCCCATATTGTTCCTCCACCTTCCTTCCCTCTCTCCTAGCTCCTAACCAAAGGCGACATTGGAGCCAGCATGGGGGGATGCAACAGTAGCTGGCATGGCGTGATGATGGCTGGAGTCAGCGCATGCGTTGAAGACGATGAAGTGTCACCCACAATGGTCATTCTCGGGAGAAGCAGGAGAGGTGGCTCTATTGTGGCAAATGAACTGATTTGCATCAAACTCAACAGAAAAAGAGCACACAAACTCTCTGGAAAATGTGATTATGCCATTTTAACTTTGTGACAAATGAGGAAATTCTTGCAAAATAAAGAACCACAAGATATGATCTTACTCTGGAATGAGAGCTCTGTATCCTTCACCAATTTGGGAAATGTGGACAGCATGATTCTTGATCTCATAGTCAACCCCCCACCACTCTTGCAAAACAACAATTCCAGGAGCATTCTCTTTTCCAACAACATAGGCATCAAAAGTCTGCAGATTAGCATTAGATTAATTTATGAGTAAACCACATTACCAGTTTACTACAGAGAAAAAGATAGTATCATGTACAAGTACTATTGACTTAGTGTCACACTGCGACCGTTACGATATAAAGAGCAATTCTCATGATGTAGAGTGAAGGTTGCAGAATCTTAATATTAGCTTGCAAGAAATCAAGAAAAAAAATATTGGCACTTCTTTTTGTTCAGTTATGGCTGTGATATGCCCTAGTTTACAAAGTACATTTTTTTGAGATGGTAGTTTATTTACAATTACTACTATAGTAGGTTATGTCCGCTGTCATACTGCAGTAATGAAGTTTAATACAGTATGCATTGTATATCGAAGGAAGTAATGCTTACTCGGTGATTAGAGGAAAGTGGGAGCATCAGAGCATCAAGTGATGGCATATGCCTCCAAAACTCACATAAATTTGACTAATGCCTCAGTGACATCATCTTTTTTTATTTTCACCAATCACCACATATTTATAGCAAGCTGTCTTTCCAGCCAATTTAGTTCATTGAGCTAAGTAGCTAACTGATCTTAGATTAGGAGAAATTTTAAAAGTGTCCCACATTTACAATTTTCTGGTTGGAGAGAAATTGGGTACCTACTTCGTACAAGGCTAATGCACATTCTTACCAACAAATAACAACCTCAGGTAAGCTGTATGGACAGAATAATCAAGTGAATATATGAAAAGGCACAGATAAGCTGAAACATCTGGAATAGTCCAGGTGAAATCGTTGGCACTGTAAAACCGTACTAGCAAGTTCGCGTCTGCAATACTTCGATCAATTCTATGTATATACCATAGAAATTAATACAAGGAAAAGGATGCAAACGGTTTCCGTATTAGGCAAAAGAAAACCGGAAACGAATGGATTAATCGTTGTATTACTCCACATAACGACACAACAATCTCAACGCATACCGAGTATCCACCAAATTCATGACAGCCAGAACTATTTGTCATGACTCAATAGCATTATGTGCCATCTAATTAGCGGAGAAAGGGTTAAAGGTAAAGCCAATGCGGGAAGGCGGGGAAAAAGCGGCAAAGTGAGTTCTAAAAACGAATATATTCATGTCTCAAAGATCACCTCCTCGACCACAAGAAGCATGGATGATTCTCTAAAAAATGGGGGGGGGGGGGGGAATCACAAGAAGCGGGAGCTAAACCGCAACGAAGCGGGCCGAACATATATTTCCTAAATAAAAACAGTGGGAAACGGGAAAACCCAAAACCCTAGGGAGGGGGGGACTGATTGGGCGAGCGTAGTGTGAGTGGAGTGAGAGTGACTGACCGTGTCGTCGCGCTGGATCTGGACCATGTGGAACGGCGCGGCGGAGGATGCCATGGCGGCGCGGGGGGGAACGAAGGAGCGGGCGGGGTGGAGTGGCGGGCGGCGGAATGGGGAGGAGAGGAAGGAGGAGGAGAAGGCGCGGCGTAGCAGCAGTTGCGGTGTGGCCATCTCTCAACACAACTAATCAAATCCCAAGCAGCAGTCGCGTCGCGTCGCGTCGCTTCGGTGACGGTGGGGATGGGGACGGAGGGCGATGGACCGACCGATGGATGCAGGGCAGCCCACACGGCAGGCACCCGCTTTTGTTGCTAATCATCAGGGCCCTACTGGCTTTGGTGGCCTGCCTCGGCAACACGGCACCCCGTTGCTGTCACGTAGCCTTGGCCTGGCTGCTTCCGTGCGTGCTTCACCGCTCCCACGCCCGACGTGTGGACAATATTCTGAGAGGGGAAGTTCAGCGTTCGCTCTACGGGCGAAGCAGGATAAATGATCACCGAGGCTATTTTCAACCAAAACTGGTCGAAAACTACGCTGTTTCGATGCAGGATGAAAGTAGGTTATAAGTGAAATTTTGAATAGTTTTTGATAATTTGAATTTGAAGTGGTAAAATTCAACCGAAATTAATCAAAATTTATCAAATTTTGGCCAAAGAAAATCATATCACCGTGTTCGGAATCTAATATTAAATCGAAGAGGTGAACACTGATACAAACTTGGTGTGTTCGAACCTAGCTAGGTGTTCAGACCCCTTCCCTCCCAACACGTAAAATGAAGCAAGGGCTAGCACATGATTAATTAAGTATTAGCTAAAAAAACTTGAAAAATAGATTAATATGATTTTTTAAAGCGTATAGAAATTATATTGTTGGGAAATTTGAGAAGTTGTGGGCCACTAGCCTTATGCATGGTCTCAAATCTCAAAGACTTAAATGAATTAAAACAATTCTAAATTAAAAAAAATGAGGTGGCCTGTCTGTGGAACATCATTGTACATCATGGTCATGTATGAAATGTTGACAGCTTCACATGGGCTGTGTTTAGTTGGATCCAAAGTTTGGATTTTGATTGAAATTGGAGCAGTTGTATGTATATGACATGTTGATGTGATGGAAAATGACTGAAGTTTGGATCCAAACTTTGGATCTAAACACAGCCATGGTAATGTAACATCAAAAAGGGCAATGACAATTTAACACAAGTTATAGACCCAAAAACAACAAGTTCTTCCAAAAGAAGATAGAAAACAAATCCTGCTGCCAACTGGCACAAATACATACTCCTACGGTACCAGCCACATTCTTTTCCTGAAAAACACATTCTCTGCAGCCCAATGCTGTCAGAGTCTCAGAGATACACAATAACACAAAGGACGGGCATATCATTTTCGGTAAATGAACTACTGCTAGGTAGTAGTACTTCAGTAAATTAAAGAATTAAAACACCAACTCGTCACAGCTGTTCAGATTTCATCCAAAATTTGCTCCGCTGAAATGTGTAGTCATAGTCAGTAGTTAGCTGACATATGACAGCTGGAGCTGGAGTAGACATGAACTGAACACAGCAAGCCTGTGCTGTACAGATTCAACTTGCTTAATTGAAATCATTCGGAGGTATCATTACATGGGGCAAAAAATTAGAGGAGCTCTAGGAACCCTTGAGATTTTGGGTCAGGCTCCACTACTGCCCTACTGGGGGCAGAACACAACTACACTACACAGGCAAGTTCTACTATACTGCAGTCGTGTTTCCGTGAAGTGGCAGCGGCGCCTCTTTTTGGTGCTCGACAAAAAGTGCTACCAAAACGCTGCGAAAAAAAAGCAAAAGGCAGGGTGACCTCTAGAGTATTGACCATCGACGGCATTCTCACCATTCAGTGGTCACTGCTCCTCCTTCCTTTCCTTTCAGACCCCACAGGCCAGGCCTGCGAGAAAAATAGAATAATGGGGGTGGCCAGCAAAGTGCCAAAGGAAAAGGGAATCGCCATCGGAGTCCCATAAAAAGCAGGGCGTGAGCAGAGAGCTGCCTCCAGCCCAGTGAGTAGGGCTGGCTCGGCTCGCTCACTCGGTCAGCTGCACACACACTGTACTTCGGCTCACTCTCTCCACTGTTCTTCTTCCTCGGCGAGGGGGGAAGGAGGAGGCGAGAGCTCGAGGCGGCTAGGAGGAGGAGATGGAGGGAGATACGGCGAGGAGGCTCGCATTGCTGGGGCTGTGCCTGGGCCTGCTTCTGCTGGCGCCCTCCCATCTGGCCTCGGCCGCTGCGGTGGAGGATGGTATGCTTTGCTGTCTCTTCGATCGTTTCTGTTTCTTGCCCTTGCTGGAGGATCAGTAGTGCTGCTGTTCTTTTGATGCTGGAGGATCCAAGGCAGTATTTTGACATATTTGTGGAATATTTGGCTGGAGTTTGTGGGGATGGGTAGTTTTCTGCATCACAGATCTCAGCAAATAGAGAAATCATGCGATTTAGTACCTCTCCGCATCCCACATTTGTATAACAAATGCGGAGTTCATTAGCACATATACATAGCACTGAGGAGAAATTTGAAGGGTGGGTAGGAGAAGAGAAAAATAATCCCCTAGGAAAATGGTGTGGTAAAGCATGCCAAGAAGTTAGCTTTGTGCCCTAGGAATCAAGAGATGTGGTTGCACTCGTGAGGAAGGAGTGTGATAGTCCCCCCCTTCTTTTTTTTTTCTCTTTTTGTAGAGCATGGTTCAGTATACCTGCAAAGTAAAGGTCCTAGAAAGTAGGAAGGAGCCTTGGCCCTTGGAGGTTGAGATAACATTTATTCATACCAATTATCCAAACCTGTCCTGTTATTGAAGTCTGGACAGCCAAAAACTGATCAGTTATACTGCAATTTGTTCCAAAGCTTTCCTGCGACTGTAGTTTTTTGCAGTGACCAGTGTAACCACTAACCACTTCTTTTAAGTACATTAATTGGATAAAAATATTTATACCTGCTTAATACCCCCCCCCCCCCTATTCCTTACTTGCCTTCGAGTTTAGTAGTCTGCATGTATATATCTTTATAAAATTATTCCTTTTCTATGAATCATGCAATTTTATGTTTGAAAATGACTAAAAACCCCCAAGTGAGCTGTCCTGTATGATGAGAGAGACATTCTGTTGGGTGCAGAATGCTGCTAACAAAACCACTTGAAAGATTCAGAAAATCTTCAGGCTTGTAACTGAAAGAGTTTCAGTTTCCTATCTTGTCCAAAGGAGGTACTATGAACCTCTATGCAAGGACGAAGTTGCATGAAAGTCAAAATGAAATGTGGCGTAGTAGTAAACTTGGATCCAGGCCGAACAGCACAGCAGCAGAAACCAGTGAGCCAGTGTCCTGCAAACGTGTTCAATGAACCGTCCAGTAAAAAGGTCAAATGGCTTATTAAAAGGATGGCCGTGAGGGTCCATGCCTGTCTCTTTAATTTTTCGTACCTTAACCTCCCCAGAATTACGCTACGGGCCGTGGTGATTTCCTCCGGACATGGGCAGCTCTGGAGTCTGGACCACTGCATGGGGCTCTCCATGGTGGGATGGTGGATAGGGTAGGGTTGGTGGATGTTTCACTTTCACCACATAATATCGTCGTGCATAGTCACATGGCTGTCCTTGTAAGGACATTGAAGCACAGTAAAGTGGCCTACCCGCAGTGCCCCAATGAAATGCATTGGATGTACAATAGAAAAACATGGACATGTTTTCTCTCCTATAGTACTGAATTAGAGGTTTTAGCTGTTAATTTTTTGTACAGGAGATTTAATTATGGTACAGTTTATCTGTGCAACCATGCTTTCAACTGGGAAGGTAGCCATAAAAAAACAAGCTTGGGAAGTCACTTATAAGAAAAACCAGTCTTGGAAATGAACTTCCTCAAACTCTACTGTGATGGTTCATTTCACTTGTTACACATGTTTGATTAGAAAGGTTTAAGTTTTTATCTGAAATGTTTTTTTTTGTCACTGTTATGCATTTGATTGGAGTTGTATAGTGCCATTCAATTGAGGCCTGGTTTAGTTCCCAACTTTTTCTTCAAACTTCCAACTTTTCCATCACATCGTTCCAATTTCAATCAAACTTTCAATTTTGGCGTGAACTAAACGCACCCTCAGTCTGAGTTGTACATTATTTTATATATGCCATAACAAAGATAGTCCAGCGCACAGTGTACTAGGTTCAGTGGGGGATCAGATTTATGGTTCGTCCTATCCTACAATAGGCTAGAGCTACACAACTTAAAATAGTTATGGTTTTATTGCATTGCAGACTTGCATAGATGTACTTGGCTTCACTTGCATGGGAACACTTTCGCATATAACATGGGTAGATATTAAGTAGAGTTCTTGAGAAACATATTTTCTGCCTCTTGATCTTGGATTGCAGCCGTGTTACTTTCGGAGATCTGTTACTAAATTGACCTTGGCACTTACATGAACAAGTGATCTCTTTGCACAACAGGCTTGCTCAGCAATGGTGACTTTGAGACAGCACCAGCTGGTGGTTTTGTCAAATCTGCTTCAGTTGCTGAGGGTGCATCATCGATCCCTGGCTGGACGATCAATGGGACAGTCGAGCTCATCTCAGCAGGCCAGCACCAGGGTGGCATGATTCTTATTGTTCCACAGGGTATCCTACAGAGCTTTTCTCCTTCTGTCCTCTGATCAATCAAATTGCACCATTGATTTGTATTCGATGTGTTTAATATTTGGATTTTCATGTCAGGGGATCATGCTGTACGTCTTGGAAACGATGCAAGTATAGGGCAGGTGGTGCAGGTTGAGAAGGGCTCAGAGTATGCTATCACGTTCAGTGCTGCCTGAACGTGTGCACAGCTAGAGTCACTCAATGTGTCTGTGCTCGGTGGTGCATCACAGACAGTGGACCTGCAGACATTGTACAACATAGAAGGCTGGGATGCATATGCACTGGCTTTTCAGGCAACAGATGAGCAGGCGAGCCTTGAGTTCAGGAACCCTGGTATGGAGGATGATCCGACTTGTGGGCCTATCCTTGACAACGTTGCCATAAAGAAGCTCTTCACTCCAGACAAACCAAAGGGTATGACAGTTCTGCTTATCTCTATACCTAGTAGAGTGTATATCCTTACAGGATGTCTTAAGAGAGCTAGAGGTGCTCTAGTTCATTTCTCATGTGTATGGTTCGTAAGTCATCACTTGGTGTTGTCTTCTTTCAACAGATAATGTGGTGTCGAATGGAGACTTTGAGGAGGGTCCATGGATGTT